CCTCAAAAAAGTAAAACAAGATCATCATGTGACCTAGCAATTCTCCTTCTGGAAACAAGAACTGTAATCAGCATGTTACACAGGTATCTTCCATACACACTCCCATGTTCACACCAGAATTATTCATCTTAGCCAACAAGGAACAGGCTGTGTCCATTAATGGATGAATGATGAAGGTAGTGCAGTACATAGACACAGTGGGTGACTGTATGATCTCAAGGAAGACATTATGTCACTATGACAACACAGATGAATTGGACGACATATTCACACTGAGCTTTCTTTTTCTTTTTACTTGTTGAACTTTCTATTTAGTGGAACATCAAACCTTTGACTATAATGTAAACTAAAAATATATTATTTCAAAAGTTAAAAAGGGAGCCGGCGCCGTGGCTCAATAGGCTAATCCTCCACCTTGCGGCGCCGGCACACCGGGTTCTAGTCCCGGTTGGGGCGCCGGATTCTGTCCCGGTTGCCCCTCTTCCAGGCCAGCTCTCTGCTATGGCCAGGGAGTGCAGTGGAGGATGGCCCAAGTGCTTGGGCCCTGCACCCCATGGGAGACCAGGAAAAGCACCTGGCTCCTGGCTCCTGCCAGGATCAGCGCGGTGCGCCGGCTGCAGCGGCGGCCATTGGAGGGTGAACCAACGGCAAAGGAAGACCTTTCTCTCTCTGTCTCTCTCTCTCACTGTCCACTCTGCCTGTCAAAAAAAAAAAAAAAAAAAAAGTTAAAAAGGCAGGAAGAAAGAAAGAGAAAGGAAGGAAGGGAGGGAGGGAGGGAGGGAGGAGAGAGGGAGAGAGGGAGGAAGAGAAAGAGAGAAAGAGAGAAAGAGAGAAAGAGAGAAAGAGAGAGAAAGAGAGAAAGAGAGAGAGAGAGAGAGAGAAAGAAAGAAAGAAAGAAAGAAAGAAAGAAAGAAAGAAAGAAAGAAAGAAAGAAAGAGAAGTCATAGTAGAGAGAGGAAGGAAGGAAGGAAGGAAGGAAGGAAGGAAGGAAGGAAGGAAGGAAGTCATAGGAGAGAGGAAGGAAGGAAGTGCCATTATACTCGTAGGACTGTTTCTTTAAATTGCATTGAATTTGTTCTCTTTGTATTAATATCACATTAATATTAGAATGCTGAGAACTATGTTGTAGTAACTATCACACATTTGCTGTGACCCTGAAAATATAATGTACTAATAAAAAGTTATTATGGGAAGACTTTGCTCTACAGTTATCTTCTATATCCTCTTTGGAGTAGGATGTGATTAATGTATCAGAGAAAAAAAATGAATAAGTGATTGATTGACATTGATTTCTATTTAATTTTTTAATTTATTTTCACTTTATCTGAAAGACAGAGATGAGAGAGAGGGACAGAAACAGAGACAGAAACAGAGATAGAGGCAGGGAAATAGCTTCTATACACTGGTTCATCCTCCATCCAGGTCTTCCATGTGGGTGACAGGGTTCCAACTATTTGCACTATCACCTCCTGCTTTCAAAGGTTTGTATTAGAAGAAGCTTGATTAGAAGCAGAGCCAGAATTTGAACATGGGCACTCTGATATAGGATGTGGGCATCCTTAGAGACAACTTAACCATTGTTCAAAGGTTACATTTATGGAAAAAATTAACAGAATTTTCCTGTACCTAAAAATAATGTTTCAAAATATATATGCAACAATGTTTTTTTCAGACCAAAAATGCTAAAAGCATATGCTTCAGTGGAACTGAAGGTAAATAGCTCATAAGGGAAATCCTTCAAACAGAAGGAAACCAGATGGACCTTTGAGATGCCTATAGATGATGATACCTACATAGTAGGCCTTGAGTAGATCAATAAGGCTTAAAGCACACTTATTCAACTTAGATTGTAAAATGTGCTATTTTCCTTTCTACTTTTAAAGGTAATCAAAAACAATTCACATTTTCATGGAATGGATAAAAGTGTTGATTTAGAATTTTGCCTGGGAATATGCAATCTCTCCAACTCTCATTATATAGCTTGAAAACATATGGGCCACCTGAACATGACACAGAACATTCCCCTCGTCCATTACAATGATAGTGTCATTCTAATCAAACAGGGTAAACAGATGTAGCTAGTATTCTGGGGCCCGTGGTTAGGCATAGAGGATACAGGAAGCTCTGTGACCGCCACTTCAGTGATGTGGTTATGGTGGAAGTAACCTGGAGGCATTCCTGAGGATTCACTCCAAAACAAAGATAAATAAAGTGTTTTATTATTGGACCCCATCAGAAGTGAGGAAGCACAGCTCTTGGAAGAACTCTTTTTAAGGTTTTAGAGACAACATATCTCAGACCCTATAATACATTTGCAGTTCTTATTGATATCAGGAATGATGGTGAAGGTGATGACAACCACTTTCTAACACATAGGTGAGTGTGCCTGCTCTTCCTGTTGTGTGTGGTGAGAACTATGGATTGCTTCTAAACAGTACAATGCAACAAAGTCAGTTGGAGGCCCCTTCACTTGATTCGGTTAGTTGATTTTGATGTGATTTAGTAGAAATTTTTCATAGATGGTTTTGATTTGATCATGAAAATCCCATAACAGAGAGACTGAGCCTTTACTGGCTATGAAGCAACTGCCATGTTGTAAGAGGCCCTGGAGAGGGCGCTGATATGCAAGTACCTGCAGGTGGCTTGTGGCAGCTGACAGTCCTGCAGAACAGGTATCAAGATGAAGGGACCTTACTCCAACATTTGCAAGGAGATGAATTCTGCTAACAACTTGAGGAGCTTGGATGTACTTCCTTCCCTAGTCCAGCTATAATGAAATTGTGGCTTAATTGCAGCCAAATGAAACTTTCAAGACTACCAAAAATCCAACTAAGATATATAGTGACTTCTACAGAAACTGTGATATAAAAGTGTATATTAATTTAAGCCACTGATCTGGCGACCTGTTAGTAATTTTTTTGTTCTTTTTTGACAGGCAGAGTTAGACAGAGAGAGAGACAGGGAGAAAGGTCTTTCTTCTGTTGGTTCATCCCCCAAATGGCCTCTACGGCCAGAGCGCTGCCAATCTGAAGCCAGGAGCCAGGTGCTTCCTCCTGGTCTCCCATGCAGGTACAGGGCCCAAGGACTTGGGCCATCCTCCATTGCCTTCCCAGGCCACAGCAGAGAGCTGGACTGGAAGAGGAGCAACCAGGACAGAATCCGGCACCCCAACTGGGACTAGAACCCGGGGTGCCGGCCCCTCAGGAGGATTAGCCTCGTGAGCCATGGCACTGGCCAATTAATAAATATTAAAAAAAAAGAAATGGCCCGCCAATATTTTGATGAATGATTTTAATACCACGTGTAACCATACCCTGATTATTTCTTTTAAATTATAAGTTCTAAAATAAGTCAGGTAGAACTGCTCTTTATATGTTTAAAGGTTAATTATGGTTCCTTTTTATGAAATATTTGTGTCTTACTTCTGTTTTTCAATAGGATTATCATCTATCACTTTATATATGTATAATAGTTTTCTCAGTTTTTAATTTCTTAACTAATTTTCTATTTTTTTCAAATAAATTCTACATGTTAATGTAATCTAAATTTTAGACTTTTATTTTGGAACTTTTTGTTGGTATATAAAATAAGAATGAGAGCTAATATAATGGTTTTTTATTTGGCTATGTATTTGTTCTAATATGATACTGTTTTATAATAGAAATTTTATGATTTATTTCAAATTATATAAAGTTGGACATTTTAAAAATTTAATTTTAGAGTGTTATCAGATATTTATGTTTACTCATATAAACATTAGAAAATAGACTACAATATGTTCCTTTAGGAGTCGAAGTAAAATGTTTATTCGTGTTTATTTTGCATGAACTACACTAGACTGCACTTATGGAGACTTCTAGACCTGATAATTGTGGAATTGCAGCATTTTGAGAAATAACATACAAATAGAATCTAGAATTAATGCAATGGCTCCAGTGACTGTCAGAATTTATATGACTTACTCTAACAACACGTGATTACTGAAGAAAAGTCACCTGATCCAAAACAACATGTTTAATTTCCTGTTTTAACTGTCATGTCAGTCATTTCTGGACTATGCCCTTGCACCTGTGTAGTAGCTATACAACACACTGACTGTGCCTGTCCCATATTCTCTTAGCAGTGCAATGACAGTTTTAAGTACAAGCTTTCAATTCATAGAATTCACACAACTCTAAGAATAAGAGTAGCAGAAAGGAATTATTCCACATTTTAACATAGAGCATATTTTTGTTTCTCAAGAAAGACACAAATCTTCAATGACAAAACTGTAAAGTCAAGGCACCTAGTATCATACTCATTAACAAACCAGAAAAGCCTTTTCTATGGTAAGTTAGCATTTTCTCCATAACTTCGTTCACAACATTGAAAGATAAATTGCAGGGCTGGCATTGTGGCATAGTGGGTAAAGCTGCGTCCTGAAATGCTATTATCCTTTTGGGTGCTGGTTCGAGACTCAGTTGCTCTCCTTAGATCCAGCTCCTGCTAATGTCCCTGGGAAAGCAAAAGAAGATGGCCCAAGTGCTTGTCCCTGCACGCACATGGGAGATCCCGAAGAAGCTCCTGGTTTCTGGCTCCTGGCTTTGGCCTGGCTCAGCCCTGGCCATTATGATCATTTGGGGAGTGAATCAGCAAATGGAAGACCTCTGTGTCTGTTTCTCTCTCTCTCTCTCTCTCTCTCTCTCTCTCTCTTTCTTTCTTTCTCTCTCTCTCTCTCTAACTCTGACTTTCAAATAAATAAAATATAAGAAAGATAAATTGTGTTTAAATTCTTTATGTGTGTTTGAGAATTTGAAGAAATACATATTTTTATGGATTGAAAACCCATGGAATTCATCCTACAATTAAGCTTCTTTGGCTCCTTCCAGATATTGACCTTACCAATTCATACATTACCGTCATCTAGAAAAACCTCACACAATGTGTGGCATAAATTTTTACAACATTTTAAGCTGTGTTCAGGTTGCTCATTATAGCTGAAAGCATTTTTAGGAGTTGGTTCAGTAATGTGGCACTTTTATGTCTATTAATTTCCGGAAGGCATCTTTCACATCTTTATTTCTCAGGCTGTAGATGAGAGGATTCAGCATGGGGTTGACCACTGTGTAAAATACAGAAGCCACTTTCACAGTTTGGCGAGAGTTTTTGGAGTTGGGCACACAGTAGAGGGAAAGTATGGTCCCGTGGAAGATGGTGATGGCAGTCAGGTGGGAGGCACAGGTGGAGAAGGCTTTGCGACGCCCACTGGCAGAACGGATTTTTAGCACAGTCACAAAAATGAAGATGTAGGATGTGAGAATGATGAGTAATGTGCTCACTTCATTGAAGGTGGCAAAGCCGAAAAGCAGCAGGTGGGGCATGTGTGTATCTGAGCTCGAGACAGCGATGAGCAGTGTATTCACAGAAAAAATGATTGATCACGTGGTGTCCAAAAAAGTTAAGCTGCAGAGCATAGCAAAGGAGCACCAAGGGGCCAAACATACCCCAGAGGTATGACCCGGCCACTAGTAGGACACAGAGCCTCTGTGACATGGTCACTGTGTACAACAGCGGGTTACAGATGGCCACAAAGCGGTCATAGGCCATCACCGCCAGCAGGAAGGACTCAGTTACGACAGCAGTGCAGGACAGGAAGTACTGCAGCATGCAGCTAAAGTACAAGATGCTTTTATCTGCCACGACCAAATTCTCCAACAACTTGGGAGTGATGATGGTAGAGTAACAAAAGTCCACGAATGAAAGGTGGCTAAGGAAAAAGTACATGGGAGTGTGAAATTTGGAGTTTACCTTGATGATCACTATCATTCCCAGGTTTCCTACCACAGTGATAATGTACATGAGCAGAAACAGGAAGAAGAGAGGAAGCTGCAGCTCTGGGTAATCTGTGAAACCCAAGAGGGCAAAGGAGATCTTCACACTCAGATTCCTTGCACTCATCACCATAACTCCTTTTAATGAGAGGGTGGGGTTGATGAGACTTGCTCCCAGTAAGGACAAGATCCTGACAATTATATCATGGTTTTCTGTGGTAAAGAAAAGAAAAGGAAAAGCTAGAGTTATTAATCCCAGTTTTCTCCATGAAGGGCATGCCTCTTGCAGAGAGCTGCTATGCATAGAGCAAACCAAGCTGAGTCTCTGATGTTTCTTGGTGTTTCTGCTGCACTTTGTGTTAACATCCTCACATTACCTAGTATCAAATCAAGCACATAACTGATAGAAAATGTGAGTAAATGCATAAATACATAACCTAAATGCATAAATACATAACTCACCTCAAAGAACGACATGCAATGCTAATCTGTTTAGCTTTTATACATACATCAAAGTATTTAAGATGCTATGTTTCCACTGTAAGAATGAAGTAAATATTAGGGAAATGCATGGGCCGGCGCCGCGGCTCACTAGGCTAATCCTCCGCCTTGCGGCGCTGAAACACCGGGTTCTAGTCCCAGTCAGGGCACGGATTCTGTCCCAGTTTCCCCTGTTCCAGGCCAGCTCTCTGCTGTGGCCAGGGAATGCAGTGGAGGATGGCCCAAGTGCTTGGGCCCTGCACCCCATGGGAGACCAGGAGAAGTACCTGACTCCTGCTATCGGATCAATGTGGTGCGCTGGTCGTAGCGTTCCGGCCACGTTGGCCATTGGAGGGTGAACCAACAGCAAAAGGAAGACCTTTCTCTCTGTCTCTCTCTCTTTCACTGTCCACTCTGCCTGTCAAAAAAAAAAATATTAGGGAAATGCATGAAAAGAATGTAGTAATCCCACTTTGACAATTTCTTTTCCACAAAGAATTCTCTCATTGAATTTCTTAGTGATTTAGGGAAGTTGATGAGGATAATAGCCTACTTTGACTTTGGGGATAGAGTGTGTATATATGTTTTTAGGGTTTATGGCCTAAGGGTTGGTTTCTATATCCCAGGCATCACACATAGAACTCTTGAGAGTAGCAAGCTTACCAGCTAAAGCAATAAGTTCATTACTGTGAAAGTTTATGTATCAATGGATGTCACACATAAAGAGAATAAGGATAAATGTCCATTTCTAGGCAGGACTTTATTCTGTTCTTTGTGAAATGGTATTCACTGGACCTAAGGCCAAATAGTCACATGACCATTAACTTCTCTCTTTAATATTATTGGGTTCAGAATTGGATAAGCTTTATGGTGACAACAGAAACATAAAAATCAAAGAAAACTGCAGATATATTAGAAAAATAGTATTTTCTTAGTTGCACAGGAAACTTGAATAAACTTACCCGTTATAGAGAAACAGGCCACCAACCTCCTGTTTCTCTGTAGGCTGAGTACAACTGGGGCAGGAGGCTCTTATGCGTGACTGTATAGCCCTGGGGACTTGAACTCTGGAGAATCCCTCACATCTCAGTGCTCAGGAGCAGCAAAACAGATCATTAAGGCAAATATCAGGTCCCTTGTACCATCTTGAATGACTAAAATTTCCTCGAAATCACACAGAAAGATTACAGCAGGAAGTCAACCCACAGACAGTGTTTGCACATAATTGAAGTGTCCTCAGTTGTTAATAAAGCCAAGCACTCAAATATGACCTCATTACTTCAACAACCCAGTTATTCTCAGAATTTTGGACACAGCATGTGCCACATTTAGGCAAGTTGTGCCAGCACATTTGCAAAGTTCGCCAAAAGACTGTTCATTTTGAGAGGACCCCAAAACAAGACAAACGTTCACAGTCTCACTTACCCATAAAAGATGCTCCGTTTGTGGCATGTGACCTGGTGCATAGGATTGTCCTTGAAGTGCATCTGGCACATACACACTGTTTAGAGGTCGCTAATGCCAATTTCAAGTCATGCCTTTAGGATTTTCATGCCAAGCAATAACTTCCGCCAAAGATAACTATTCCTCTTTTGATAAAAAGTTTCCGGCTTTTTATGGGCCTTGGTAGAGACTGAATGGTTGACCATAGGCCACAAAATTGCCATGCCACCCATACTTCTCATAATTAGTGAAGTGTTGTCTATCCTACCATTTCATAAAATTGATATGCCAAACAGGTGGCAGCACTCCTATTCCTAAACTAAGGAACTGAAGCAAGTGGTAAAAACACCCAGGGTCCATACCCTTGTTGTATTGCCTCCTTCTCAGCTTTGTTAGGATTCACTATTCTGTGAACTGACCAGTTGCTGGTTTGTTAGTCTCACCTGAGCTCATTCACTTTACTGCCATTCTATGGGCATTCAGCCAGGGCTAAATCGTCCAAGACTGCAAGACCAATAGAGAAAAACTCAAGTATTAGTTTCCAAAATTTAGATAACACATGCATTCTTCATACTTCAAGTGTCCATCAACATGTTTATATTTTCATAAGAAGACATTTGGTCAGAGAAGGTGTGTGTGTGTGTAGGTGTGGGTGTGTGCTAAATAGAACAGGGAAAAATCTACAGTGAGCCACTCTGTGTACTGAGAACTTGTATCTCAAGACCATTAATAGCCGATTTCTGACTTAGGGTAATCAGAGAAAAATAGTATGCTGTTATTCTTTATATCCATAGCTGAACTCATTATTGAACTATTCCTTCATCTAATTTGTATAAATTAAGAAACTAAATAGATTTTGCTTCCTATGGAGCTCACAAAATTATTTTGCGAAACCTTACAGTATTTTCCATTTGATTTTGTAAATGTATTTTTATTTATTATCAACATTTCTTATTCTAAAGGAAGAGTGATAGAGAGGAAGGGAAAAGAAAGGAAGAGAGAGAAAAAGAAATCTATCTTCTGTCCACTGGTTCTCTCTTTATAGGCCACAACAGCTGGGCTGAGGTCAAAAGCCAGGAGCTCCATCTAGGTCTCCCATGTGGGTGCAGGGACCCAAATGCTCAGTCCATCTTCTGCTGCCTTCCCAGGGGCATTCACAGGATGCGGGAGAAGCAGAGTGGCTGGGATTTAAAGCACTCCATTGTCGAATGCCTGCATCTCAAGTAGCAGCTTCATTTGCTGCACCGCAGCACCAGCCCCTGAAAGTGTATTTCTAAATGTCATTAGAGGGGTGGAATGTTATGCAAGTGCACGTTTATTTTAAATTTCAATAAAGTGTACACTTGTTTTGGCTGCTACCATGAATACAGATACTTACACAAACCTCTGCCAGTTTTTATAATTAGTTTAAGGACTCGTCCCTAATATAACTGCAGCCTCCTGCCCTTCCCAGGAATAAGGAGCCGCTCTGCAGGCTGTTACTTTACAGGCCTTTACAGGAAAGCTACTCACTCTTTTTGTCCCCTACACTGTTCCTAAAGAGAGGCCAGTCCAAGTAGCAGACAGCTGTTTTTAAAATCTTGATTTCCTGGAATGATTTGTAGCAAATTCGCTTTATTCAGGTTTCCTGATAGCCTTATGGTATCCTTGTGCCATTCCCTTTAGGAAACAGATTAATCAATTTCTGAACTCATGGCCATATTTACAGTTTCTACTTAAATGCCTTTTAAAGGTATGCATTTTTAAAGGTTTATTCAAGAGAGAGAGAGACAGAGACAGAGACAGAGACAGAAAGAAAGGTCCTCCATCCACTGGTTCATTCCCTAAATGGCTGCAATGACTGGAGCTGGGACAATCCAAAGCCAAGAGTCAGGAGCTTCCTGTGAGTCTCCTACATGGGTGCCGGGGCCCAAGTACTTGGACCAATCTTTCACTGCTTCCCACGCCATATCAGAGAGCTAGATCAGAAAAGGAACGACCGGGACATGAACCTGCGTCCATATGGAATGCCAGCAGAGCGGGTGGAGGCTTAATCTACTATGCTAAGGCACAGGCCCCAAATGTAAGAATTTTTAGAAAGGTAATTAAATAGTTTCCTATTACTCAAAAATAAATTACACAAACTTAGCAATTTCAAATAATACAAATTTATTATCTCACAATTCTGGAAGTCATAAGTTCAAAACGTGTTGTATGGGGCTTGAATCAAGTTATCTGCAGCACTGGTTCCTCTGGAAGATGTAGTGGGGGGAGTCTGCTGTTTCCCGATTGTTTCTGCTTCTGGCCATTGTCAGTGTCCAGCCTTGTGAAGCATTACCGCAGCCTGTTCCCACTGCCATGCTGCGTCCTTCTCCTCCCTATCAAGTATCCTTTACTTACTACTTACAAGGACATGGAAGGACATTCAGAACCCACCATATTTCAAGGATAATCTTCCATTTCACAGTCCTTAACTCCGTTTCATCTCTAACATTTCTTTTGGATACAAAGCAGCATTCACAAGTTCCGAGGATTAGGAGCTAGATGTCTTTGGACATTCCTATTCATTCTACCGTAATAACCCTTAACTTTTGCCCACTGCAGAAGTTGCACCTTCTTCTCCCTTGTGTGATGCTGACAAATGTAAGACAGTCAAGTGATTTTAGACCTTACAGCTAAAACTAAATAATTAAAAGTAGACAAAGAAATGCTTTACTGATTATAATAGTAGCATAAGCGTCTGTTTATATAAGCATCATGATCTTTCAGTATGTTATTTCTATTATTTGGTTTTTAAAATATTAGTTGTGAGAGAGCCAGCATTGTGGTACAGCAGGTTAAGCTCCTGTCTAGGATGCTGATATCCTATATAAAAGTGCTGATTTGAGTCCTGGGTGCTCTACTTTCTGATACAGCTCCCTGCTAATTCACATGGGAAAGCAACAGAAGATAATCTAATTAATTGGGAACCTGCTACCCACCCGGGAGGTTGTTATAGAGTTCCAGGCTCCTGGCTTTGGCTTGGAACAGCCCTGACTGTCACAGTCATTAGGAGAGTGAACCACTGGATGCAAGATCTCTTTACGTATGTCCTCTCACATTCTGTGTATTATTCTGCCCTTCAAATAAATGAAATAAATCTTTAAAAATATTGGTTGTGTGCTATATTCATTGACAAAAACCCCACAAGTATTAGCATGGTAACAGAACATAATACAAAGTAGTATACTT